AACCCGCAGGCTCAGGCAATTCACTCACCTCAGCCTCCCAAAGGTGCAGGATTACAGGCTGAGCCACCGAGCCCAGCCAGAATCTAGCACATTCTTAAACCATGTTTTTTTGGGAAGGTGCCAGTCTGCTTAGCATAGCCTGAGAGACAACTGATTGACTGTTGTGCTTATTCTCAACATGTGAGGAGTTGCAAAGGGAAATGAGTTAAAGATCAAATTGGAGGAACTCTGTGGCTTTACCTGTATTTAGTCTCGAATGTACTTCATTACATTTTTGAAGAGAGATCCTAGGTGCATATCAAAAAATGAAAACATATTCAAAAGGTAATTTTAACTATTGTAAGTTATCTGAGCATATGCTTCCTCTGTTGATATGAGAACTAGTTACCTGAGATATTTAAATCCACATTGCTAACCAGGAATAATTAGAATGATGACAAAATAGTGCACATATAAGAGTCCTTTATATCCTAAGCACTGTTTCAAGAGCTTTACATGGATCTTTTCCCTTATAATAACCTAAGGAAGTAGGGCCCCCTCATACACACACACACACACACACACACACACACACACACACACACACCACACACGCACACTCACACCCACACAACTTGTTTTCTCCCTACAAACAGTATATATATGTATACTGCCATATATATATATATATATATATATATAACCAGATAAACAGAGATTGGTAAGGGCCTGTTTGTAGGGAGAAAACAAGTTTAATTTAGGTACCTAAGGGAAGTCCAAGTGCTCAGGAGAAAGAGCTGGGCTGGAGATATACATTTGGTAGTAAGTATATATGATTTGCAATTGAAGCCACAGAGTAGAGAATATAATTGTCCTTGGAAATAGTGTAGAGAGGATATAACAGAGGGAGATGCCTTACAGGATTCCTAGAAGGAATAGCCAGAGAGAAAAGAAGAAAACCAGGAAGCCAACAGAAGTAAGTGTTTCCAGAAGAGAGTTTCCAAAATGTTTTTAGGAGGTCAAGAGTATTGAACGATGTTGAGTGAAGTGTTCTCCATCTGGCAAAATAAGGGAATTGTTGGCAAATTTATTGGAAGTCAAACCATTGTAGGTGGAAGAGAAAACGGGAGGTGAGGAATTTAAGACAATTAATTATATTCAATTCATTTAAGGCGATGAGATAAGAAAGTTAAGAAAGTTGCTAGAGAGGGAATGTGTAGTAACAGAAAAAGTCTTTCTTTTTTTAGTTGGTTGGACCCAAATATGTTTATGTGTTGATAGAAATGAACCAATAGGGAAGAAAAATTGAAGAGGCAGGAGAGGGAACAATCAATCATTTTAATCAATCCTTTAAAAAGAACAGAGGGAATGCAATACAGAGAAGAGACAGATAATTTGTGTAAGATAGGTTGAGGGACACCTATGAAGGAAAAAGGAAGAAAAGTTAATATGTACATTTGTTGGTCTGCAGTTTAGGAGGTCTTTGGACAAAGTTTATGTAAAAAAAGAGGTAAAGATCATCTTCAGAGATTGAAGGAAGTGACTGTATAATTAGGGAACTGAGTTTTGAAAAATTTTCAAAACTTTGCAGAAGTTTGAAATAGCTACTATAGAAAGTGTGAGAGAGGACGAACTGACTCGAGAAACACAGGTCTGCTGGATGGTATTGAGAATTCCACTGAAGTTGAAAATAATGAATAACTTTACAGTGGCACCAATCTATACAGTTGTGTGATTTTTCTACAGTAATGCTAAGCCACTGTGCCACAAGCATTGACTAGGGTTGGGTTTTTGCCAGGCAAATAAGCTAGCAGGACATCTAGGCAAGGAATTTGAGTTTACTGGTGAGAGAATGGCTGAAGTTATGAAATATGAAGCCTAAGCTAAAACAGGAAGACATGGAAAATTGAAAGTACTGATAGAAAGAGGGAGCATAAGTTAAAAACACATATTTCCATAAAGTTAAATAGTAGATGTTGCAACATTAAAATGAGAGCTAAAAGAATAAGAGATGTCAGAGTGTAGGATGTTTGAATTTATGATTTCAGAGGAAGGTTCAATTTGGAAGAATCCAGACTAAGATAAGCTGGAGGGTATTAATTAAGGAAAATTGAATAAGATCCTACTACCCTGAGAAAGATTATTTCGGCAACTATGTGTAGGGTACATAGAAGTGGGAAGATACTGAACTAAAGCAGCTAAGACACTTATTTGCATAAATTAGGAACAAAGTATTTGAATTTTGGATCCAAAGATGGGTAAATAGGCTATGTTTTTTACATTGAAAGAGATGTAGTTTATTTTTTTTTTTCGAGAGAGGTAAAAAATTTAATTTTGTGTTTATCCAAAACCAAATAGTACTGAGACACTACCTAGTGATTGTAGAAACCTGTACTAGCACTTTGGTTTTATTATTAGTATTTTTTGAGTCAGAGTCTCACTCTGTCTCACTGCACCTAGGCTGGAGTGCAGTAGCACAATTACTGCCAATGCAACCTCAACCTACTAGGCTCAGGCAATCTTTCCCCTCAGCCTTCCAAGTGACTGGAACTACAGGTGTGCACCACTGTGGCTGGCTAATTTTTAAAATTTATTGTAGAGACAAGTTCTCACCAAGTTGCCTAGGCTGGTCTCGAACTCCTGGGCTCAGGCAATCCTCTTGCCTCAGTCTCCAAAGTGCTGAGATTACAGGTGTGAGCTCAGCCTACTAGCACTTTGAATAATGCCTTCTTTTTTGTCAATTATACACACACACAGACATAGTCTCTTTCTTTTTTTTTGAGTTGGAGTCTCACTCTGTCGCCCAGACTGGAGTGCAGTGGCCACTCCCGGTCACCGTAGCCTCGACCTGCTGGGCTCCGGTGATCCATCCTTCTGCCTCAGCCTTCCAAGTAGCCGGAACTACAGGCATGTGCTACCACACCCAGTTGATTTTTTGATTTACTGTAGAGATGAGGTCTCACCAAGTTGCCCAGGCGGGTCTCGAACCAGCGGGCTCAGGCAATCCACTCACCTCAGCCTCCCAAGGCGCGGGATTATAGGCTGAGCCACCGAGCCCAGCTTAGACACAGTCTCTGTCTCTCTCTCTCTCTCTCTCTCTCTCTCTCTCTCTCTCTCTCTCACACACACACACACACACACACACACACACACACACACACACACACACACACATCCCTTATTTCAGCCCGAGCTGAATTTTTGCATCTTTTAAACAACCAAATTTATAATATATTGCTCTAATAGAAGGTTCAATTAAATCCATCTTTTCTTATCTTCTTATCTCTTTTAGCATGCATGCCTAATTTTCAACTTGAGGTAAGGAAAAAAGTTATATAATATTTTCTGGCATTTTGATGTATTTTTTTCCAGTCTTTTGTGACTGGGCATGGTTGTAGTTAATAGGATTTTAGCACTTATTCCTGCTTTCACATTTAATAGAACAACACAAATATTTTGTCTTCAAAAGCATCAATTAGGATGACTGCATATTATTGTCATTTTCTTTCCTTTTACTTTTTAGAAAAAAGTATATCTCATTTCTGTCATCTCAGTTTTCTCCGGCCTTATTTATTATGCTTTGATTTCAAACACAGATGTGTATGTATGTGAAATAAAAGCAAAAATGCTTGTGGAAGGGAAGTTCCCAATTTGAATATTTATGTAGAACAGACATTGTAAGAGAGAGTTTTCTTGCATGTTTTGTTTTATTTCCACAGGGACTGACATTCTTAGCAAATTGGTTGCCTGTAACTAAAAAAAAAACCTTTTTTTTAGCATAAGGACTCAGATTTATATTTTGAAAAAAAAATCAGACATGCCAATACTAGAACCTGTGGTTATATATACTGATGGTCTGATAGATTAGTGTTGTGTGTCCCTTTTAGACAGGGCATATGCTCGCTTTTCCATAGCCATGCCTTCCACTGGATGTTTCCAACACGTAGGTTACTTGCCAGTCCCATGGGTGTTTTATTTTTGATGCTTCACCTAGAGTAAAATAAAGGACAAATGAACTATTGTCTCTTCAATAGAAGAGAAGCTAAAGCTGTCACTTCTCAGTTAGCCACATGAGACTAACCTATTGTCTGCTTGAAAATTATTTTGGGATGGCCTTTTCTTCTATTTAGCATAGAAAAAAATGCAATTTTAGCATTTGGTTAAGTCAAACAATTAGAAAGTTAAATCCACTACTGGATCACATATAACATTTCAAAACCACGTTCAAAAGATGCAATTGTTTCATATCACCTATTTGCATTTCTATTCCTTTTTATTAGGTGAAAAAATCAGGAGCCAAATACTTTGTAGCTTTCTGTAAGTGGAGTTTTGCTCATTTTGGGACTAAATGCTGACATGAAGGGAAGTTTTTTGTACACAAATGCGTTTTGTGAGCCCTTGGGATTGCCATTATTGATACTGTGACTGTTCCTTAATAAAGAGTGATCACAGAATGAGCTCTTTCCTTCTACTCAAACAGGCCCGGTCTAAGCGAGTTTGTTTTGTGACAATGAAGAGATTTGTCTTTCTGGGAAGGGTATGAAGAGTATGCATGTTAAAGGACCCATGACAAACATATCTTGGGTGTCTCCAAGACCTTAATTACTCATAACAAAATATTTCATTTTCTTTGTAGGTGAAAGTAAATAATGATTTTAATTATGAATTTTACAACAGTAGTTGGTCTTATGTAAAACATACATCAACACAACATTCATCATCTCGTAGGAAGAGCTCCTTTTTTAGATCTTCATCATCTTCTTCACATAGTTATACTTCAAATACCAATGAAATACACAAGACAAAGGTTAGTATAAATACCAGCTAACGTTTCCATATGTTACTTTCTTTAAGTATTGCTTACATGAACAAAAGTGTATTTATCAAAGGGTCAACTTTCATATTTAAATTAGGGGATTAGTATCTCCTCTAAGAGATAGTGCAATACATTTTTCAAAATGGTACAATATTTTCCTTAATTATCTTTGATGATAAATTTATTTTTACTTTTTCTTGTCTCATTAAGGTAATTCTTCTTATTTGAAAAATGGTTTCTTAAAACTTTTTAAATTTTAAATATGTAGGGTACAATTCAGGGTTAGGTATACAAATGCTCATTATGCTGGTGCACTTGTTGACGAAGTATGCCTCTCCCTCCCCTGGATAGTTCCCACTATAGTAGTAGTTCCCATTACTGCCAATTGCCTTTCTTATAGTATTAAGATAGTTGTTCAAGGTCTGCTTATGAGTGAGCACATGTGGTACTCAGTTCCTTGCTTCTGTGGTGGATCACCCAGTATTATAGCCTATAAGTCCATCCAAGTTGCTGTGAAGTTCATAATTTTGCCCTTCTTTAAGACTGTGTAATATTCCATCTTATATATGTACCACATTTTTTAAATCCATTTTTTAAATTCGATGGGAAGCATGGTTGGTGAAAAATGTTTTTTTTTTTTTGAGTGGAAGTCTCACTCT